TTTGAAATTTTCAATAGTTCATTTTTTTTTTTAAAATACCGGAAATTTAGAAATTTCTGGTAGTTTATATTTTCCTAATATTTTTTTATTTTTTAGTGAGAACCAAAGACATAAATGGTTCTATTGTGGGACGAACCACTGATAGAGCTGATGCTGAAGCTCAGGTTGACGAGATGCAGGCTTCAGAGCTACAGGCTGGACGTCGTCCTCCAACCGATTCTCACCGGAAATGGATGGCTGGGCAGAATGTGTAGTTCCATGCACGCCGTCATCAGGGTCTTAGAGTATCCACTACTGAGGAGGTACATGCTCCTACGAATGAGGTATAGGCTCCTACTAAGGAGGTACATGCCTGTTCCTATTGTGGAGCCGGTAGTTGAGGAGCACATTATGGAGCCTGTGGTGCAGGAGGCTGAGCAAATTATTCAACGTTTCTTTCAATGTAGCAAAGGATTCTGAGCCATCTGAAAGCTTGAATTCAACAGGAGGGTTGTTGTCGTTGTAATACACTTCTGCCTTAATCAGAAATTAAGGAAGAGACATTTTTTTGAGATGTATTTTCTCTATAACTCATGTCCCTATTTAAAAAAAAAAACGTTGAAATTATTTTTAAATTTAATTTCATAAATTTTTTGGATTTTTCTAAACTTTGATTTTAACAATAATTTATTTCGCTTATTTAAAATAGATAATAATTTACTTTAAAATTATTTATATTTTAAAAATAGCAAAATATGTTCATACCCTTCATATGCTTCAATGTGTCATTTTATCTTGAATAGAATGACATATCACAATTCATAAGGAAGCAGAGCTTACAAATATAAGATCATGTGTTCGAATCTCATTTGGATATTTTTTCTGTTTATTTGTTATTAAAATATTATTTTTTATTAAAATTATTATTTTATGTAAAAAATAGTCAAAAAATCCAAAAATAAATAAAATCTTTTTCAAATCAAATCTTTCACAACATCACAATTAGTTTCAAGTTTTTAATCTTGCAGATTAAGATAGAATTAGAAAACTTTAAACTTTTTTCTTGATGTGAGTTATTTCATTTTTGAAATGTTTTTAACTTAATTTCAAAATATAACTTCCTTCACTCTAATTTTTCATCTTCAATTATCAACACTTACCACTAGTCCGCCACTCACAACCTGCAATACCACATCCGCACGCCACTTCTCCGCCCATCTATCACCGGATCTGTCACGATATTCATAGTTGCAGGTATTTGTTTCATGAGAGGGTTATAAGAGGAATTGATGCTGTGTGTTTTGATTTTTGAATGTGGTTTCCTGTGAAAAGCAAAATGAAAGAATACAGAGAAATAGTCTGCTTCGTTTCTATCACTAGCTGTGCAAATATATTAATTTCGTGTTTTTTTGTTTTTTTAAAGAATACCACATGTCTTCGTTTAATTGGTCCTTAGGTCTCACTTTGAAAAAAATCCAAGCTTATCATAAAATGGGGCTTCCCCCAACCGAACACCAATGCATGTTTAAATTTTTATTTTTTTATGATTTCGAATTATTTGTTTATTTGCTTAAGCTAGGAGTTTTAGGGCTTCTAAAAAATATTTGGTCTTTGTTTCATTACTAATCATGCCCCTTAGGATTACTGATCCAAGAATATTATGTTCTTATTTCTAATTTAGTTTTATTTAGCTTATTTAATTTATTTGAAATTATTTAAGTTAATTTTTATTTAATTTGTTAATTAAAAATAATATCATTAACTCAAACATTTTTATAAATAATATAAAGAATTTCACATCTTTGAATAATCGGTTGGTCGGTTTAATGTCTACCAATTTATTATTCAAATCAAATAATTAAAAATCACCAACACATTAAATTAAATTTCTTCGCCTCGAGCGAATTAATTCTGATAAAGATCAAGATTCTTTATCAATACTTAATCAAATCAATTACTTTGACTAGAGCGATTTAATTTTGATGAAGATCTAATCTTCTTCAACGATTTAAAACCCTAATTAAAATACTTAATTAAAATAGCTAATCAATTATAAATATTTTTTTACTAACATAATAAAAATCAACATATTTTCAAAAAATAAATAAATAGAATTGCTATCAAAGTTAACTGCGAATTGCGTCTACGATCACTCTTTTCAAACTCAGACAAGACTTTCAAACTCTGACAAGACTCAAGGATAATTTGAAAACTATTATACGCGATCTTATAAAGAACACCAACCAAACCTAGGAACTACAAATTTAGACTCTGATTTCTTATAAGAGGATACGTAGGCACGCCGCTTAAAAAATCAATGCGAGTCTCCTAACTAAAAAACTAAACATTTTCTTTAACATATAGAAACAACAATAAGTAGATATTCTCAATATACCCTTAGACCTAAAAATGGAGTCTCTTGAGAACAAGAGAGATGAAGGGTGTCTAACATTTTCCATTCATTTAATTGACTTACGAATTTAAAATCTATGAAACAATTATGATTATCTATTACTTTCCCGTCCTTATGACAAAAAATTAATGGTGGTGATTCTCTATTTTTTTTGCCTGTTACGACACGTACACCAAAATTTTTAAATAAATTATCGAAAATTTACGGTACCAAAATTTTTGTAGAAGTCTATCAAAAAATTTAAGTGATATCAAAAACTTTAATTTTTTATCAAAAATTTCGTCCGAAAATGATGTACATCTGATCTAAAAAATAAAAGTGAAAAAAAAAATTAGAGAGATAGTATATTTAATTTAGCGGATTGCATGATAAGTTCTCTGGGAGAAGTAATGCCCATGAAACAAAAGGCTGTCGGCTGAGGCCCAAAATAAAATGAGTAGCCCATATTTTTACTGCGGAGTAAAACGATAACCCTTCTGCTCCATTTCTCTACGCCCTAGTTACTCCCTAACAGAAAACAAAAATGGCGACGTTTCCATTGATTCAGCGTGCACGAACCACAATGCTTTCTTCACCTTCTTCCTTTAAGCTACGTACAAATTGCGTCTATGGCAACTACTTCCGCCAATCCTTGACTACCTCTGCTCTTCCAAACGAGTATGGTAGATTCCCTCATCAGCCTCAGCAACAACCGTCTGATCGCAACACACCCCTGCATCCTCCTCAACACTTCAATCATCATAATCAATTTTCTCACGATAATCATAATCCTCAACAGGGTCGATTTCCTCCTCAACAAGCTTGGAACCCTCAAAATCGACCACCACCGCCTCCTCCTCAAAACCCTAACTTCCGGCCACCGCCACCTCCTCAAAACCCTAACTTCCGGCAACCCACTCCTCAAAATCCCAACTTTCAGTCACCCAATAGTCCCAATCGATGGAACAACCAGAATCAGTGGAACCCCCAACATGGGCATCCCAACCAGTTTCAAAACCCTAACAACCAATTCCAAAACCCTAACAACCAATTCCAAAACCCTAATAACCAATTCCAGAACCCTAATCAGTTGAATGAACGAGGTTCTGTTCAAGAACAAGCTCTGCCTCCTTCAATTGTGGACTTGACACGTTTTTGCAGTGAGGGGAAGGTTAAAGAGGCGCTTGAATTGATGGAAAAAGGTGTCAAAGCTGATGCCAATTGCTTCGAGCTTCTGTTTGATTTGTGCGGTAAGTCGAAGTCTGTTGATGATGCGAAGAAAGTTCATGATTACTTTTTGCAATCAACTTTTAGGAGTGATTTCAAGTTGCATAACAAGGTGATTGAGATGTTTGGGAATTGTAAAAGTATGACTGATGCACGTAGAGTGTTTGATCATATGCCTAACAGAAATATGGATTCTTGGCATATTATGATTCGTGGCTATGCGAATAGTACACTGGGAGATGATGGTTTGCAGTTGTTTGAGCAGATGAATGATCTGGGTTTGGAGGTAACCTCAGAGACTCTGCTTGCAGTGTTATCGGCTTGTGCTAGTGCGGAGGCTGTGGAGGATGCTTATCTACATTTTGAAACCATGAAAAGTAAGTATGGAATTGAACCAGGGGTAGAACACTACATGGCACTTTTGGATGTTCTTGGACAATCTGGATACCTCGAAGAAGCTGGGGAGTTTATTAAGAATTTGCCGTTTGAGCCTACAGTCACAGTATTGGAGACCCTCAAGGGTTTTGCTCGACTTCATGGAGATATTGATCTTGAAGACCATGTTGAGGAGTTGATAGTTAATATCGATCCATCAAAGGTGGTTGCCAATAAGATCCCTACCCCACCTCCCAAAAAGTATACTGCAATCAGCATGCTGGATGGCAGGAACAGAATCATCGAGTATAAGAATCCTACTCTTTACAAGGATGATGAGAAGTTGAAGGCTTTGAGCAGTATGAAAGACGCCGGATATGTTCCTGATACAAGATATGTTCTTCATGACATTGATCAGGAAGCAAAGGAGCAGGCCTTGCTATACCACAGTGAACGTCTAGCAATCGCCTATGGTCTTATTAGTACTCCACCTAGAACACCTCTTAGGATTATCAAGAACCTTCGTGTCTGTGGTGATTGCCACAATGCCATCAAGATCATGTCTAGGATTGTAGGGAGGGAACTGATTGTCAGAGATAACAAAAGATTTCATCATTTCAAAGATGGAAAATGCTCTTGTGGGGATTACTGGTGAACGAAGGAATCATTTCTCCAAATCCTACAGTATCATGGATATATTAGTTTCTAAGTGCTGGCTGGTTCTGAGTTGTGTGCCTGGGAGACAAATGTTGTGCGATACTGCTAGGCATAAAAGGAATGGATTATGTAGTATGCTCTGACTTATAATGTATTTGCTTCTTGTTCAGATATCAGCACTATTCCCTCTCTTCTTCTATTCCCTTCTACATACTCATAAGGTTAAAAATTAATATTCTATTCCCTACTATATACTCATAAGGTTAAAAATTAATATTCTATTCTCTGCTATATACTCATAAGGTTAAAAATTAATCTTGTAAGGTTTTATTTATTTAATTATTTTTTGGTTCTAGTAGCCACTTCAAATTTAGCTCCGCTTTGATCCATGCAAAGTATGTAGGACAATCTTGCTTACATTGCTTGAACGGTGTTGTATTTTGTGGAAAAAAAGATTTATACTGAAGTATGGATTTTGATGCTTGACGCATCTCTGAACTAAAGCTGGTTGTATCATTTCTTCAACAGTTTCAGCAAGTTTTAATTTATAAATAACTTCAATGATGAAAAACAAATACATATCTTTGTGATTCTTCATGTGTTCGCAGTGCATATCTTTTTATGATTTTGTGGTTCTCATTTTTAAGATTAAAGGGTTTGTGGTTATTTTGTTCTGATTTTTTTTTTACAATAAAAATGGTTGTGTTAACAATTACTTACTGCATGTTTGGGAACAGAATTCCAGCAACCAACACCAAACCTGGTTATGATGTGATTGAGAAGTTTTTCATCTTCTGCAGGGGACCATAAGCCTCTCCTTAATTTTTGCTTTAACAACAAGAATGGTAACCCATTTAGTCGAATTTTGTGTGAGAAGAATGTTAAAGTTAGGAAAAACTTAGCATTCTTTATTCTTACATTATCGATTATTTAGTTTATACTTTTTTTTATTATGTTCCATTTTATTTGTGTATACTTTTTATTTAGTGTATGCAGTTTGTTTAATTTATGCCTTAATGTTCTTTGTTTGTTGTGTATTTAATTAGTTTAAGTTTTTATTTTATTTTAAATTGAGATTGTTTGCAGTGTATCAGTTGACTGAAAGTAATGAGTTCGGTTCTTTTCATGTTGAAAGTGATGGAGGAAGGTTATGTTATCATTCAGAAGATGATGAAGAAAATGAATCAGTAAGAGTGTTATCTCTGCAAAGTCATAGCGAAAACAAAATGTTTCTTCGAGCATTGCAAACGAGAGCTATATTGTTCACGCAACAGTTTCACAAATAGCTTTCAAATGAAGACTCTGAAAGATGATCAAATTTTCAAAACATTCAAACCAATTGAAAGTGGGTTGTTAAGAAGTTGGAGTTGAGGTTGAGACAACAACCGCCTCTTACCCTTAGTGAGGCTTCTTACTTGATGAAGAGGAGGAATATGAAATAATATTTTTGGAGAGTAACATGATTTATAGATCACTTGAGCAAACAAAACAAAACCTCAAGTGTTTGGAAATTGGCTAGAATGACAAACTATGAGACTATTGTCACGAGTTATTATGCAACAATCCAGGCTCAAAGGTGAAAATGAGCACAATTCCACAACATGAAGGCTTAAGAAAGGATGCATGCCTATGATTGGACTGTGGTTGTTTTTTAAGGTTATTTTGGAGGACAATCATTGATTGCTGTCGAGGAGATGCAAACAACCACATTTTTGATATTGCATATGCAAAGTTGGTATAGAAAATAAGAAAACTGGAAATGGTTTTTAGAACAGAAAAGGAAATGGTTTTTGGAACGGTTCCATGATGATTTAGGTGACTATACTCGACATGTTTGGCAATTTGAAGATGATATGCAAAAGGTTTGGTTTATGCTAATTCAAGCTAATAATTTTAAGTCATTTAATTACAATGATTAATTTCAATTCTTCAAAGAGGTTATGCTTGGAGTAGAATAGAAGTTTGCGTGATGCATTTATAGAAGAATTTCATAAAGGTATTCAAAGATAAACAAATATTGTATGAATTTGTGTAAAAAAAGATGAGATTATCGCTATACTGAGATGACGTGTGAGACCATTAAAACATGAACTTCGTATGGAATTCTAGGAAGAATTCATTTCCTAGAGCATCGCTATTCTGAGATGGACGTGTGAGACCATTAAAACATGAGCTTTTTAAGGAATATATTCTTCAAAAAAGTTGTACGTGAGTTTTATGTGTTTTATGTCAGAGATAGGATTTAAGACTCTTAGAGTAATTTATGTTTAGAAGGTATTGAGATCTCTTACTCTTTAACTTAATCATATTATTGTAGTAATTGAATTTTCTAAGAATTTGAGCACAATGAGAATTTAAGAGCTGTAAAGTAGTTTGGAGCTACAAGAGTTGCGTCTAACTGAGAGAACCTTTGAAAGAGAGGTAGAGTCGACTCTGAAAGCTTCTTTTGTCAAGAAGGACCAGAAGCAGTCTTGGTCAGAAGTTAGGAAAAAACGTGGCGGTTTTCAGAAGTCAGAAGCCTCTAACTCTGATGAGAAGAAACATCAGAAGGGAAAGGAAAAGCTTGACAAGAGAAAGGTTCAATGCTACTGTTGTAATAGGTTTTATCACTTTGCTAAGGGACTGTTGGTCAAACAAGGAGAGGAAGTCAGAAGAAGCAAATATAATAAGAGGAGATTCTGATGATGAACATGTGATATTGATGATTTATGAGTATGATGGTAGGTATTTGGTAGACTGGTGATATATGGACATTGGCTCCTCAAACCACTTAACTGAAAACAAACAATGGTTGGTTAATTTTGACTTCAGAAAGAAGACAAAGATCAAATGTGTTGATGATAAATATCTTAATGCAGAAGGTATGGGAAATGTCAAAGTCAGAGTGAAGAATGGAAGAATCGTTCTGATCAAAGATGTTTGGTATGTTCCTGGCATGAAGAGAAATCTGATGAGTGTACGCCATCTCATTGAGAAAGGTTTCTCAGTTATCACGAAAAACAATCTCTTGAAGTTGTATGACTGCAATCAGAAGTTGATTATGCAATCTAAGCAGGGAAGGAATAGAACATTCAAGGTGAATGTGGAGACAACTGAAACTAAATGCCTTAGTGCAGAATTGCTGAAGTTGGCAGCGAGTTGTGGCATAAGAGATTGGGACATCTGAACTTCAAAAGCTTGGGGCATCTGAGTTCTAAGAAGCTAGTACATGGCATTCATAAGATTGTGAAGCCTGAGAAGTCATGTGAGATATGCATAAAATGCAAGGAAACCAAATTTCCATTTGCGTCAGAAGTAGCCCCAAGAGCAAATCATGCTTTGGGAGTAGTGCATTATTATGTATGTGGACCATTTCCAGTACCTTCACTTGGAGGAAACAAGTATTTTGTGTGTTTTATGGATGATTTCACAAGAATGACATGGGTAGCAATCATCAAGTTTAAGCATTAGGTGTTTACTAAGTTCCAGAAGTTCAAGGTGAAGGCTGAGAAATAGAGTGGTCAGAAGTTGAAAGTTCTCATAATTGATGGTGGAGGTGAGTACAACTGTATATAGTTTCAGAAGTTTTGTGCGGAGAATAAAATGGAGTATGAGATTACTGCTCCATACACTCCTCAACCCAATGGATCTTCCAGAAAGAAGAAATAGAATTTTGCTTGATATGACAAGGAGCATGCTGAAAGAGAAGAAGTTGTCTGACACCTTGTAGAGAGAAGCTATTGCTACTTCGACATATGTGCTCAACAAGTGTTCAATGAAGAAACTAAAGGAAATTATTCATTTTGATAAGTGGACTGAAGATAAGTAAAGTGTGAGTCATTTCAGGATATTTGTTTCAGTTTGTTACAAATATATTCCAGATGTTAAGAGAAAGAAACTGGATGATAGAAACAAAGTAATGTTATGGATTGGGTATTGTCACATCTTGAAAAAAATGCAAAGGTGACAAAGAAGAGCCGCCATCAATGTTATTTATCCCAAGAGAGGGAAAGGAAACGATGAGTAAATATAAGAGAGGGAAAGAACATGGTCTCGCAACCAAGAGAAAGGGTAAGGAAGTCGATTACGCAAGGGAAAGGTATTAGCACCCCTCACATATGTGGTACTCTACATGATCCACTCAAGTTTTTTTTTCTAATCAAAGAGTGTGATCTATAAGTCTAAAGTCTAGTGCTAAGGGAATGCATGAGAGTTGTGTACAAAAATAAAGTTTTTATTAATTGCGCGCACCGTGTAATGAGAGATCAGGACACTCGTAGTTCACCTAAAAGGTTTTGGTTTGTTTGTGTTTTTTCGACGGATAATGTTACATTCACATTCTAGCAGTTGACATATTGCAGCCCGACCAATGGAGACTTATGTGTTGTATTGCAAGAATGGAAATAACACATCCTTTTTATGAAAATATTTTAGAAGAAAAGCACGAAGGAAAAAGAGTTTGAATTTGTTGAGTGTTTTTTTGTTAGGGGAATACATTAGATGCTCCTTCAGAAGGTGAGGGTATCTAAGTACTTCTCCTTTATTTTTTAAAGTGTTTGAGTAATGTTAGATGTTTTTGAATTTTTGATTAAGAAAAAATAGTTTTAGTTTTAAAGATGCAAAAGGGGATAGAAAATCTAAGGGGAATCTCAAGTCCTAATATTGTCATGTACAATGGACATAAAGTTAGGATGAGTGGGAGATCCTAACTAATTGTTGTAATACTTAGATTAAATCCTAAGGTCTAATTAATTCAATTTAATCAAGAGATTAAAATTGAATTAAAAATTCTAAAGGAATATGATAAGGTCAACCAACAACCAATCAACAAACAATCATTAAATCATAAATCAATGCTAAAGATCACACATAAAATGAAGTACCGAATTCAAACAATCTTCAACTAAAAACCCCCAAGATTTATACCACACTATGACAAATGAAATGACAAAAGAACTTAAAAAGAAAATCCTAATTAATTTCTAAAACCAAAATATCCTAAGAGATTAACATTCTACTATTTTTTAATGTTATATTTTTGTCAATAATTAAGAGAAGAAATTAAAACTAGAATAAAAACTAACTCAAAAGAAATTAAGAGTTCAGGGGGTGTAAAGTTGAAATTGAGAGAAGCTTCAGCAATGAGGTTTGGGAGTGCAAGGCCCGTGGTGGAAAGCCCATAATGAGTTTTTGTATAATGTTAGAAGCTCAAAACAAAACAAAAATTAACGGGTCAAGGAGACAAATCAATTCATCCCAAACACACAATCAATATCCTTTATTGTATCATTATTTTTATTTATATTGAAACAAAACAAAATAAAAATTAAAAAAAATAAAAGAGAAATTGAAAGGGCTAGCTCATGAAATTAGGGTTGGATTGTGTCCTTCAAATATTTTTAAAAAATAGAGACTTTCCCTCCTCTCTCACATTTCTGGCGCCGCTTCACCGTTCCATCTCACTTCAATCTCTTCTCCTTCGAACATCGTATTCCCATCTTTGCTCATATCTCTGTTCATCAACTAAACTCCACGGTGGTCGCAGATTCGCTCGTAACCTCGACGAATCATCTTCTCTGACTCTTGTCTCTGTTCTTCAACATCACATCCTCGTTTCAACATTAAATCGACCAA